ACACACACACACACACACACACACACACCCTCAACTAACTATATATATATATGTATACCCTCAACTATATATATATATATACACACACACACACACACACACACACACACACATATAGTTTACTGCCCTTCCCACTAACCCAGAATATCCTAACTTTTGAAAAGTTATATACATTTTTCATTTTCTTCTGTCTTTATTTTTTACAAAATATTAACATATATTCATTCCACCAACATTTACTGAATGTCCTTTAAAATCCAACAAAGGATAAAATGCTAAAGACCAGGCAGATAGATCAATATGCACTTTCATGAATCTTTTAGTATACTCTCGACATAGAGAATCACAGTATGTTAGACATCTTTGAGATCACATGGTGTTCTAGCACTCTAATTTGACATATGGAGCAACCAAAAGCAAGGAAGATAAAGAATTTGCTATCACTGTAGGAATGAATCAAAGATTCAGTTCTTTCTTAGCAAGTTCTCCATCCCGTGCCCTTGCAGTGTATCTGCCTTGATCCCACTTACAGGATGTGTAACAGACTCTGCCTTCTGGTGTAGTGCTTCTAATCTTTAATGGTTGGAAAATAACCTAGCTAAACTAATTTTAATTATGTTTAATATAAAAGTAAATAGACTGTGAATGAGACCCTGGAAGACTGTCCTACATATAAGGAGCCCAAGCCACAGTAAACTTCAAAACCTCTATTTTGGCTGTCCTGACACTTTTGCTTAATTTTTGGTTCCCAACTATTTTCCAAAGCATTGAGGCTGCCAGAGAAATAAAATGTCACTTTCCTACTTAAAGAGTGATCTCTTTAGTGAATGGTCTATCTCTGAGTAGTCCCCTTTAGCCTGGACTATTCCAGAGAATTCAATATACACAGTACATTAATGAAAGAACACTGTTTCTGAGAGTAGATTTTATTACAGAAGTCTTAACGATTTGATGTTCTTGTAAATAGTTCTTGGGATATATCTTTACTTTCTGGGCAAAATGTCTCAAATTTAATGAAGTGCACAACTTCATACACAAAATTGCACTCAATACAAAAAATTTTCATACGTAATCTATTTGATATAAACAGTACAGTAATTTAAATTTTTAATTTTTGACAGGATAGCTTTTTTCACTTTAAACATAATTTAAACTATAGTTAGTTGCATATACCAGGGATCTTCAAAAAGTTAGTAAAAATGCATATTATTAAAAACTATGCATCAATTTCAAAAATTTTTCCAGTAAAAGACTAGTACCTTAACTCCATTTTTCCATAAATTTTTTGAAGTCCCTTCATATTTTACTCATTGAACTAACCCCTTGAGTTTTATTAAGGAAATTACAACATAGGTATCTCGAGAATAGAAATTACAGTGCATTTAGTATAGATAGTAAGACCTTATTAATTAATATGTTATTAATCAGCATAATCAATAAGCATTTTCTGATTATCCAGGAAGGAACTTACCTTTCCTCTTTCTCTAGTTTGTTTTCTTTAACTATATTGTAAATTAACTGTATAGTCATAATATTAACAGTACTAATCACTAACTATGTGACAACAAATTATTTTCAAGGTAATCAGGAGCATTTTTTTTAATATTTTATTTAACTTTATTAACTTATTTTAATTTGACCAGAGTGGAACAGTGAGGGAGAGAGAGAGAAAGGAAGAAAGCAAGCTGCCAGGTCTGGGACACAAATCACAGTAGGCCATGTAGAAGTCCAGAGCCTTTAACCACCACGCCATCTGCCAGCCCCCAGGAGTATTTTTTAACTCTTGCTTACATAAAATTATTGACATCTTACTTTAAAATCTTTTGTAGTTGTTAATTTTAAATATCCCTAAAGAAACAGACAAATGATAATCATTCAGTCTTAGCAGGGTTACCATGTTATAAAAACATAACAACATTGAATACTCACAGCAATAAATTGGTTATTTTCTAATTTAATGATATCTCCAACTTTGACATTCATCCATTTTTCATTTTGCAATCTAAGAACAAAAACAAAAAAAAATTTGTGGAAAAAGACTATTATTAAATGTGCAACAAAATAGTGTAATGTTTGATGTTAAAGAAGATAAATATGTCCATATTCATGATTTGATAATTACGCACTGTATGCATGCTGTGAAACACCATCCCACAAAAATAGCAAACACAGAATGTAAGGCTCTTTACCGAAAACGATGTCTATGTTAATATCCCTGATTTGATTATCACACACTGCATACCCTAAAACATCATATTGTATGCATAAAGATATACAACAATAAAATAGAAATAAGAAATTATAAAATAGGAAAAATAAATAAGTGTAATGTGGGATTCTGGAACAGAAAACAATTAGAAAAACTGGAAAAACTGAATAAAATTTTGAACAGTATTGTGACAATGTTTAAAAAACTGTATCTATATATATAATTATTATTATTATTAGGTTCAAATATTCTATATCCTTTACTAAACTGCTGTGTATTTCACCCACAAAATACTATAAAAATCTATTATGATTGTAAAAAACAATCAAAAGTATAATCAAGGGAATAGATTCACAAAGTAGAATCATGTAACAGAAGTAGAAAAGACTTCCCTAGAATGTTAAATTAGGAAGGGCCTTATATAACAAAGCTCTTTATCTGAGCAATGTGGGAACAAAGGCCTAGAGGTTAAGCGATTTGTCCAAGAATACTTAGTGAGTTAGTGGTACCTCTGGACTAAACTCAAGATATCAAACTCTTGGTTGTGTACTCCTCAACCACCTCATGGTGCCAGCTTTATACAGCAGGTATGAAATCTTAACAAATTGACATTCTTTTTCAAACTCTTTATTAATAAATACACAAACATCACTGCCATTGTCTCAGAAGTCTATTTAACCGGAGGCAAAAAGTGAAGGAGTAAAGGAGAGTGCTTCAGAACAATAGCTAAAATTCAAGTAAGGGAGAAAAAAATTAAAATTATGGAAAGGACAAAAACAATGGGTAAGAAAGAAAGATTTGGAAGACTACATGAAAAAGACCACCTACAAAACATCCATTGCACTGGGCTGAAAAATGGGCTCGGTGGCATCCTAACAGGCTGGGATCAACAGCTCAAAATAGAGGACAACGAAGCCAACATGCTGTACTGCTTTCTTTGAAGCTTATGAGTAGAAAAGAGCCCCAAGTCCACTCTCCACCAAGTTCAAAGGGGTTTATGATGAAAAACTATTGTATCCATTGGATCTGGCCCCTGGTAGCAAGTTAGAGCTGCCCAAAGTCAGACAGGCTCTCTGGAAACAGACCACCTGTGGCAGGATACCGTGATGCTAATCACTCCTTCGGAAATTCTATGAAATGTAAACCAGCTTTTTTTTCCAAGTTGGAAGTCTTCATCAAACTTCTTTCTCAGAGATTCCCTTTTAGGAGAAAAGTCTGGAGTGAGTAGGGCAGGTTTCCCCAACAAGTTAAGGTAGGCAGGTTAATTTCACTCTGTAATTTTTTTTTAATCTAATTTACTCGTTTTACAGGCTGGAAAACAGTTTTAAATATTTATACATCTGTGAAATATGCCTCACACTATCAACCCTGCTGGGTCATTTGGCTTCAGCATTCAGAGAATTTTTCTTTAATACAGCTCCAAGTACATGTTGTTCTGGAAAATTTTCAATTGCAGCATTTTCATCTCTAGCCAGAATTCAATCATTTTTCCAGTGCCATACTTTTCTGCATTTTATCTAGTTCGACAACAGTGGGAGTACCTACAAAGTCTTCTAAATCTCATTTTATTAATTTTTACAGGTACAGATTATATGCTGGTTTATTCCTCTTGTGGGTACCTCCTTTCCAGCATTTGTAACATTTCTCAGGGAATAGTATCTCAGAAAGAGTAGATGTGAATCGACAGAAAAGAGTATGTCTGCATTTATGGAACCTAAGTGACCAAAAATTACTGTACAAGCATAAACTGATAAAGACCTGCAAATGAATTTAAATTGTCTATATTTTGAATCAAACCATTTTTCTGGCCCTACTCACTACCACCGCCATGGACAGTAAGACATCCTAATGGGACTGAAGGGGTAGGCAGGAAGACGTACTTTAAAGCTCACCTTCAAGCATTTCTAGGTTTGTAAGATTTTGACCTGTATGGAGACTGGGTTTTGTCATCAGCCTGAAACAATGAAAATAGACATTCTCTGGTTCTCCCTGAGTGGTGCAGTTGTTCTCAGGGCTCATGTTTGGAGCAATCTTGCCTTAGAGCTCTGCTAGAAGAACACAGGATGGCCTCATGACACTTGGCTCCATAGACCCAGCACCTTCAAGCTTTGAGTCTTTGTCATGGAAAGCCCTGTCACTCTTGTAGATGAACTGCAGTATATGAATATTCTGAAAACAAGTTAACATTTAATTGCCCTCAATCAAGAGATTCCAAGACTTTAAAATGTGACTTAATTTCTCAGTACCATCATAATAATTACTTCAGATGATAAAAGGAAATTAGTCTAGTTAATGCCTCTTTGAATCAGGTTTTTCAAAAATAGATGTGGTGATAAGATAGCCTTTACCTGAGTAAACTCATGAGCCAATCACTAAATACCCAATATTTAACAAAAAAATTCATAAAACTTGTATTTCAAAAGCACCATAAAATATTGGAGTTAAACTGCCAAATAATAGCAACTGGGATTACTTTAAGGAAATAACTTTAATATATATCTACTCTCAGAACATCAGAAAATCTAAATTCGAAGTAAAGTAAGTGAATTCGAAGTAAAGTAAGTGAATCCTAAGTAAAGTAAATGAGCGGTGGCAATTGCACATAATAATTTTTGGTAAATTGGTCTGAACCTGCTTCTTCCTGATAAGACACAGCATATTAAGGACTGCTAAGCTTTGCTAAAAAGCTTTGAGGAAATGCAAGCCTGAAAGTGAGGTAGAAACTTCTATTTTCCAAGTCACTAAACTATTGGCTCCAGTGGCTAGAAATTATTTACCTCAAACAAGACACCAAACCCACTGCTGAAACTTAGAGGCATAAGGGAGGATCTTCCATAGCTCTTTAAGACTTCTGTTAACCATTCTATATTCTAATGCTCCTGATTAACCATCAGCAACATGGATTTCTAAAAAGAAAATATCCTCAAAAGCTACAGAAGTGCTGGGGTACTGGAGAGAGAAGAGAATAAAAGTTGATATAACTGACTTCCCCTATCTATACATGCTAAAAGGAAATGTTCTCCAAGTTACATTATTAGGTTAAAAAGAAGCACATGCAAAACACCATGTATGCAAGGTGAAATTATCACCTGTCTTGGAATAAGTATATGCCTACAAATGTGTTTACATACAATACAAAATTTCTTGAAAGTCACACGAGATATAGTTCAGTGACTGTCACTAAAGAAAGGAAATGAAGAGGGGAACTGGAATGGAAGGGAAACTTTATTTCTATTGTATACTCTAGTACAGTTTGAATTTTCATCATGTTTTGAAGATCAATTAGGGTGGAAAAAAGTAGAAGAACAGAACACCTTGCCAATGTCACACATAAGCAGCAGGGCCAGGACTAGAACTCAAATCTGTTTGGCTATGAAGTCTATGCTCTTAATAAATCCATTTTCATTGTTCTTTTTAATTTTATTTTCTATGTTAATTTTATATTGCCTGCTTGGAGAGTGGAACTTACAGAGCTGAAGGAATTTGATTATGGCACTAGTACACACTCCCAGTGTCTAAAGCAAGCCAATCCAAACACACCTTGAAGCTGTGGTTCCCTGAAACAAATGCCCAGTGGACAGCAGCATTTTCTGGTTCTTTTCAATTCCAGTGCTGTCAGGGCTGCACTAGAGTAGAACATACAGCTGAACCCTAACCCTCTAACAACAGATTGGTGAACAGGGTCTCATTACAATGAGAATGAACACGATGCTCAGATCTCAGGAGTCTATTTGGAGGTAGACAGATGTTTCCCTACTTTTTCTCACTCAATCTTAGCAAAATGATAATGCTGAGACAAAACTGCACAGGGTGGTCTGTGGTCAGCTGTTGAAGATGCTCTCTCACCAATTTTACCAGGGGAAGGGTAGGAAGAAGGGAAGATGTTGAAAGATTAGTCATACAGCATGGATAACTTTAATAATTTTTTGAGAAAAAGTAATCAAGTTTATATAGTAGATGCCTTGCCTAATTTATATAAATCTGTGTAAGTCCTACTATGCATTATTTAGATGCAGAAACACACACACAATTTAGCCCTCCTATTTTATAATCAAAATGATCAATTTACTTACTAAGTTTTACCTGAACAATAAGCCTGATTGAACATTTACAGAAAATGTTTCATTTCCCTAAGCTAAAAGTCTTCCCCTAAATCAAACTCCTAAAATCTCTATTTTCTGTAATTTCATAGTAGAAGTTCATTAATAGATTGTTCATTGATAACAAGACTACAGAAATTTAGAATAAAATTATCTCAAAAGAAGACTATTCCATGGAAAAGTGGTATTAAAGTATAAGTTCATTTAGATGGAAAAAAGATCAAAATCCATGTCTACCTTACTTTTATTATATACACATTTCCATGAATTTTTGAAGACCCCCACCCCCTTGCATGAATCCTGAAGAAAATATCTTAGATTATCTATGGGGAAAAGACAGTCATCTAGGTCTGGGTCAGGTTCCTGGGCAGCAGATTCAGAGGGAGATCTCTGTGGAAGTTGATTGGCAAGTTCTCTGGGGATTAACACTTGTGAGAGACGGAAGGAAGCACAGCAGGGCAAAGGGAAGAGGAGCTGTTGATGCAGTCACAGCAAAGAGATCAGCCAAGCCCATGCAGAGCTCTGGAGCTGCTGGGTTGTCTAAAAAGATTTCTTAAGATTCTTTGCAGAGGGTTCTTTAGAGAACCTGAGAGGTGTGGAAAATTTATTCAGGTAAATGAGGCAGAGAAAGTATATGAACAGCATGTGCAAAGGCCCCAGAATACATGTCATGTAGAAAACCAAAAGAAGTTT